CCCAGAATGCTTTGTGTGGAAATAAAATGGCCCTGTCCGTGTTAAATATATTTTCAAACTTCTAGTTTAAAAATGATAAAAACTAAACATCCTACAATATTTTTACAGTCTTTATTCTACAGTTAAAATATATGTTTATTAAATAAAGTCTAATGTTACAACTAATCGGGGATCCCTTTAAAGATTCATGCTGCTCAAAGGTTTTGGGTCTTTTATGTTTTTGTGTTTCTTTATGTACCGACTGGTTAYAAATGAAAAGTGGCCTGGAATAGTCCTCAGAGCCTTCTGTGTAAATGTWTTTATTTAATCCTATTTTATTTTCATGTGTAATTTGTGAGTTACTGGTCTGCATGGTAGGCAGGCCAGTTCAGCACCTCAAGCTTCCAGCAGTGATCCAGTGCTGTTGTAACTGAGACAGTTTTCTGTTGTATTTGTTGCTGAAACATGCATGAGCTTTCCTGAAGAAGACATGGTTTAGTCTGTTTGTACCTTTCAGAATAAAGGGGCATTTTCAGATGTAGAAGTCTGATTGTTAAGCAGTAATACACTCCATTACTATCTGTGATACATGTTTTCAAATGAAGTGCACTGAGTAATGTGAACAGTTTTTTTTTTAGTTTAGCTGATTTACTGTTTATAATTTCAGCAGTTCAAAGTTTGATTTGTCCGACCACAGAACAGTTTTCTGCTTCGCCTCGGTTCATTTGGGAAAGAGAAAACTGCTGTTTCTGGTCTGATCTCCTTCCTTTTGCACAGTAATTTGTGTTCACAGACAAGAACTTGAAAGTGCTTTTGAACCCTTGCTGTTACTTTCTTGACAAGTTCGTAGCTGTTTTCAGTTCCTTACCTCCACTTCTCTTTTTCAGTTTGCTGGTTGTAAACAACGTTTTATTTCATTTTCATGTATGATGGAACTTCTTGTTTGAACAAAGTCACAGAGTCACTAAATTAATTTTAAGCAGACTAAATTTACACAATAAATCATATCTGGCCTTGATTAGGAATTTGTAACTTTTTTATTTTTATCTTTAGCAGTTAAAGGGCCTGTGACGTCAAATTTTCGTAATAAACATTAATGCATCTTTTGAAAGGTAACATTGATAAAATATTGCAAAACAAATTTCACGTCGCTGAGATGAACGGTTGTTGAGATATTTACATGTGAAGTAACAGGAAGTGAAGTAACAGGAAGTGAAGTAACAGGAAGTGATGTCAAAGGGGAATGTCAGCTTGTAAACAGAGYGTCATTTCAAAAGCTAACAACACAGACTAGAGAAGAATCTGATGTTTCTTTAGATTATTTCTGTCATTTTCAAACAGAGAAGAAGAGTTAAAGTTTAAAAAATGTTGTTTTAATAAACAGACCAGTGAGTTTATTTTATTAATGAGTTCCCCTTTGATGTCACTTCCTGTTTCACTTTGGCTGAGCCAAATTCTAAAGAAAATAGGCCAGTTATGTGACAAAATAGGTAAAATCGCGTACYATACCAGTTTTCTTAAGTATAAAGATGCTTTTCTTGATGTCACGGGCACTTTAAGCTTTTGTAATTTTGATAATAACAGCTTCATGTCTGAAATGTTTAAAACTGATCTTAACCTGATGTGAACAGTCTTAGGGCTTTAGTACTTCTTGTTCTGACTTTGTTTAATTTGGAGACGAATGAATAATGAGATTTAATAACCTAGGTTGTGTTTGTTTCTCCAGGTGTGGATGCTGTCGTTGCTGGAAGCTGTGAAGGTGTCGCCTCTCATAGAGAAAGTCAGTGACCACAAAGACTTCAAGAAGCTGCTCAGGACCAGAACCAACGTTCTGATACTCTACACAAAGACAGGTTAGAYGTGAGACATAGTCCTGTAATCTGTAATAATTCAGTTTCATAGTTTCTATGGGATCAATCTTGTGCCAGCAGGAACTGAATATGAATTGCTCAAATTGAATCTGAATGTGTATAATTTGAAATTGAATCCATTGGTTTGAAAATGAATTTTACTAAATTGAAACTGAATTTAATGATTTGAAACTGAATTTAAAGTTTAGAATTAGAATTAATTTGCTTTGAAACTGTATTTTGGTTTATCAAAATTCAGTTTGACTACTTTCACTTTCAGTTGCAAAACGTTTGTGTCACACATCCTGGTCCTTGAGAAAGCCAGAGTAATCAAACACAGATCCACAGATTTATGTTTAACATATTTTCACATTTCACAAATCTGTGGCTCTGTGTTTGATTACTCTGGCTTTCTCAAGGACCAGGATGTGTGACACAAACATTTTGCAACTGAAAGTGAAAGTAGTCAAACTGAATTTTTAATAAACCAAAATACAGTTTCAAAGCAAATTAATTCAAATTCTAAACTTTAAATTCAGTTTCAATTTAGTAAAACTTATTTTCAAACTAATGTATTCATCCATCCATCCATCCATCCATCCATCCATCCATCCATCCA